GATCAAAGAAAATAAAATTGTATTCAACCAGGGAACTAAACTCCAAAAAACTGAAAAAAAAACCCACAAAATAAATAACAGAACCCCCAGTAGAATTTTCTTGTTTTTCACTTATTTCTATTTGTCTTTTTAAAAAAATCACCTGTGATTCAATAAACCTTTTCTAACTCAACACTTTTTTTGTTGCTGCTTAGGTCAAGAAATTGCTACATTACCTGTTGAATCAATACTTGTCCACCATCTATTTCTTTTTTTCCCTGTTCGTAGAATTCCTATTAGTTTCTCTTTCATGTTTCTGTCCACTTAGTGATCTCATTTTTAATTTGTGTTATAAGATGTTTCTCCCCCACTGGATCTTCCATAATACTAGTTCCAAAAAGCACTACAGTGACCGTCTTTTTTTCTTTCGAAAAAAGCAAAAATTTCTTTTTAAATTTAGAAATCTTTTATTTTCAGAATTTTTTAAATTGCTTAAAATATAGCTTTATTCTTTAAATTATAGTTCTTACTGTATTTTTATTAACCTCACTTTTAATATACCGTTCTGGTGATGGCCATCTGAATTTTGTTAGCTTGATATCTCTCTTTCAAGCTGCATTATCCTCTAGATAAGGTGTTAACATTATCCTGCCATTTATATCAATAGGAATGGAATCCTCAACACCTGTGCAGGTCAGGTCTCAAGATTGACAGGTGTTTTAGTCCATTTTGTGTTGCTATAACAGAAACACCTGAGACTGGGTAATTTATAAAGGAAAGAGGTTTATTTGGCTTACTATTTTGGGACAGCTGCATCTGGCGTAGGCCTCAGGCTGCTTCTACTCATGGCGGAAAGTGGCAGGCAGCCGATGGGTACAAGCAGATCACATGGCTAGAGGAAGCAAGAGAGAAAAAAAAATGCCAGGGTCTTTTTAAGTAACGAGCTCTTATGGGAGCTAATACAGCAAGAACTCACTCATTAGTCCCCCCTCCCCCAGGGAAAGCATTAATCCATTCATGAGGGATCAGCCACCATGACTCAATCAGTTTCCAACACTGCCACATTGGAGATCAAATTTCCACATGAGTTTTGGAGGGAACAACACATCCAAACTCCATCATTCCACCCCTGGCCCCCCAAAACTCATGTTCCTCTCATATGCAAAATACAATCATTCCATCCCAACCATCCCAAAAGTCTTAGCTTGTCCCAGCACCAACTTTAAAAAGTCCAAAGTCTCCCCTGAGACCATAAGTAAAATTCCTTCCAACTTTGAACCTGTAAAAGTCAAAACCTAATTTATCTACTGCCAAGATACAATGGTGGAACAGGCATTGGGTACACATTGCCATTCCAAAAGGGAGGAATAGGACAGAAAAAAGAAAAACAGGCCCCAAACAAGTCTGAAACCCAGCATGGCAGATATTATGTCCTAAAGCTCCAAAATAATGTTCTTTGACTCCAAGTCCTGCATCCTGGACACAATTGGGCATCTGGGCCCCCAAAGCATCAGGCAGCCTCATTCTCACAGCTCTGCCAGGTGCAGCGCAGTGGGCTGCGCTGGTGCCTGCAACTTTTCCAGGCCGGTGTTCCACTCTGGTAGCTCCGTAAGTCTGGGGTCTCCATGGTGGTCCCGCTGCCTTGGCTCTACTAGACATTTCCCTGGTGGGGGCTCCAACTCCACTTTCCTGCTCAGCATTGCTCTAGTAGATGGCCTCAGCAGTGGCTCCGCCCCTGCAGCAAATCTCTGCCTAGGCCCCCAGGCTTTTCCATACATCCTCTGGAATCTGGGTGGAGGCTGCCATGCCTCCACTGCTCACATGTCCTGCTGGCCTGCAGACTTAACACAACGTGGATGCCAACAAGGTTTCAGGCCTCTACTCTCCAGGGCTGCTGCACGAACAACACTTGGGGCTGCTCCAGCCAGAGTAGCTGGGATGCAGGGAGCAGGATCCTGAGGGCAGCTGCACCCCAGGTCTGTCCTCCAGGTTAACACCCTCAGAGTCTGTGATGGGTGGGGCACCCTTCCAGGCTTCTCAAATGCCTGCAGGGCTTTCCTCCCATTTTCTCTGCTATTAGCATCTGGCTGCCTCACTGCCAAGATAATGTCTTTAGCAACCAGTTTATCTGCTTCACCCTTGCATTGTTCTCCAGCTCTCTGTTTCTTTACAGCATGGCCAGGCTGCAAATTTTCCAAATCTGTACGCTTTACATCATGCCTTTGCTGCCATAACTCAGAATAGGCTGTTAGAAGTAGCCATGCAGCATCCTTAATGCTTTGCTACTTAGAAATTTCTTTGGCCAAATGCTCTGGTTCACAACTCCTAAGTTCCAACTTCCACAAAGTCCAAGGGCGTGGACACAATGCAGCCAGGTTCCTTGCTATGGTGTAGCAAGGGTTATCTTTTGTCCAATTCTCAATAAGTTCCTCGTTTCTATCTGAGACCTCATCATCCGCGTGGCCTTTACTGTCCACATTTCTATCAGCATTCTGCTCGCCACCACATAAGTCTCTTAAGACATTCCAAACTTTCCCTCGTCTTTATGTCTTCTTCTAAGTCCTCCAAACTCCTCCAACCTTTGCCCATTACCCAGCTCCAAGTTGCATCCACATTTTCAGGTATCTGTATAGCAACACCCCACTCCTTGGTACCAATTTTCTGTTGTAGTCTATTCTGTGTTGCTATAACAGAAACACCTGAGACTGGGTAATTTATAAAAGAAAGAGGTTTATTTAGCTTACGATTCTGGGACAGCTGCATCTGGTGTGGGCCTTAGGCTGCTTCTACTCATGGCAGAAAGTGGCAGGCAGTTGGCGTGTACAAGTTGATCACATGGCGAGAGGAAGCAAGAGAGAAAAAAAAATGCCTGGGTCTTTTTAAGCAACGAGCCCTTTGGGAACTAATAGAGCAAGAATTCACTCATTAATTCCCCCTCCTCAAGGGAAAACATTAATCCATTCATGAGGGATCTGCCCCCATGACTCAAATCAGTTTACAACACTGCCACATTGGAGATCAAATTTCTGCATGAGTTTTGGAGGGAACAACACATCCAAACTCCATCAACAGGCAAAGGAAGATAGGGTTTATTCTCTAGTACAGGTTTTCTCAACCTCAGCACTAGTGACATTTTGACCTGAATATTTCTTTAGTGTGGGGTGCTTTCCTGTGTATTATAGGATGTTTAGCAACATCCTTGGCCTCTACCCACCAGATCCCAATAACATACCTCCTAGCTCTGAGAACCAAAAATGTCTCCATTTATTGCCATATGTCCCGTGGGGTACAAAATTGCTCTTGGTTGAGAATTTCTGCTCTGGTAGGTTAATGCTGTCAGAATAGCAAGATGACACCTCTGTCAGGGGTAAGAGGATAGACCTGTATTCTCAATTGCAAACAGGAAACACATCATAGGAGCAGCCCCCTTCTAGAATTGCATCCAAAATTGAGAGTCAGGGCTGAATCACCCATAGTCATTCATGGGGCTGCACTCAAATTATTTGGCCTAGAACCTCTGGGCAGCCCTGGATCTGTGTCTTCATCTTAATTTGCTAGAGAAGCACACCTTGCCTAAGTCATTGGTTTTCTTGAGTTGTCTCCTTTGTGACCACACTGATGACATTTCACCTTGTGCATATCTAGACCTTCCTATTTAATTTCTCCCTTCTAGTTTTGTTAAAATGGAGGAATTGCTCTTGTTAAAACAGGCAAATTGTTCAGTCTGTTTTTAATCCTATTTCCTCTAGGAACTTTATCCTATTTCTTCTCTCTTGTATTTTCTGTTTCTGTTTTGATTTGAATTCTTCCCATTGGTTTCATCTCTCTGCAGTTTTAAAAAAAGAGCAAATTACCACCCAATCTCCTTTTCAGAGCTAAACTAATAAAAAGTTGTTGATATACGTACGCCAGGGTTCAGCAAAGCCCATAGGCCAATTCCAACCTGTGGCCTATTTGTGTGCTGCCCACAAGCTAAGCATGAATGTTTTTACATCTTAAAGCGTTGTTTAAAAAAGAATATGCAACAGAGTTCTTGGTGGTCCATAAAGCTAAAATATTTACTAAATATTGCTAAATTATTGTCTGTCTCTTTACAAGAAAACTTTTCTGACTCCTGAATATGCTATACCAATTTTCCAGATTAATTCAAGGCCCAGTCTCTTCTCTCTTTATAATATCTCTGTAGGTGGTCTCTGACATGTGCATAGTTTCACTAACAACTTTTGTGTAGTGAACTCACAAACTTGTATCTAATCCAAGTCTCTCCTTACTCCAGACCCAAATATGCAATGACTATATCTTTATGTGGGTATCTCAGAGATAATTCATATTCAAGCATACTAAAAACTAAATTTAGGATCGTCTCAAAAATTGGTGTCCTTTCAGTTCCCTTCCCTCTCAATGAATGGCTCAGCTGTCCAACCAGAAACTTGGGAGTGTAAGTCAGAAACTTGAGAGCTACCCCTGAATATTTCCTCTTACTCCATAGCTAACCTCGTAAATCTGAACAATTTTAACCATGAAATCTCTTGAATATGTCTACTGCTCCATCTCTATCAGTCTATCCTCTTACAAGTTTTCATTATCTCTTGCTTAAATTATTAACTGCTTGCTAGTGTCCCTAGATCCCCTCTTTACACCCTCCAGTCCACTTTTCACCTTACTCCATAGCTAACCTCGTAAATCTGAACAATTTTAACCATGAAATCTCTTGAATCTGTCTACTGCTCCATCTCTATCAGTCTATCCTCTTACAAGTTTTCATTATCTCTTGCTTGAATTATTAACTGCTTGCTAGTGTCCCTAGATCCCCTCTTTACACCCTCCAGTCCACTTTTCAGATCATAGTCAGAATGATAGTTTTGAAATACAAGTCTAATTATGTCACACCCTGATTCAACACAGTAATAAGCTCTCTGGTTCTTGAAGTGTAATTTTAAAACTTAGACTCACGTGGCCCTGCATGGTCTGGCTTCTATTTATCTTGCCAGAATTACCTTCATTCTCCCTTTCTTCACTGCAGTTGTACTGGCCTTTCAGTCCTCTGGTCACATCTCTTCCCTTTTGAGTATTTAAGTCCTGTACCTTCTTCCCTCTCCTTTTGCATGTTTAATGCTGAACTAAAGCCTTCCCTGACCTCACGGAGTAGGTTAAATTTTCCTATTTTATGCTCTCAGTACACCATGTATCTCTTGTAGCAGACATTACAATTATAATTTCACATTTACAGGTGTAATGATTACATTAATGCCCATCTCCTATGCTCTTTACCTTGGATTAGGATAGAAATTCCACACATTCAATACTCTATCCTCAGCATCCAGTACTGTACCTGGTATAAATACTGAGAATTTGAAAACTAGATTATTGATGATTGATGGGGCAAGTTTTCTTGTATGTGGGAGGAGGTCTAAAATACCAGTAGTAGGAATTTACTGAGGATAGGAAGTGAGACCAGAGAAGAGAGTTGCTTTGCAATGCAGCGGACCAAAAAACATGCCTTGTAATTTTTCACAGACTGGTTATATAAGTGTTCAGTTCAGAAACTGGTGGTAGTCATCTCAAATATTGAAAGTGGCGAGGTCCTTGAAAGATGGCAATTTGATATTGAGTGTGACAAGACTGCAAAAGATGACAGGTAAGTATGAATTAAGTTACTTCCATTTTGATACGTTTTTTTCAAAAGTTGTTTTCTTTATCAAGCAAATTACGTTGAACTAGTTTCATATAAAGTATAGTTTGTGTCTAAGGTATATTTTCTAAGAACACTCACCTACAGAAAAGAATTGTGCATACTTTACCATATCATTGATTTATATAGATAGTATACTTTTAACATAATTGCTTTTAGTCTAAATCAGTGAATTTCATACTTTAGTATTTATGATGGTATATGCAAAACTACACATGATATAATACTAGTTGAGTCATTTTATGAATTGTTCAGAGGTACTTTTAACTATAAGGGATGATCCCAGCTAGACTCTTCCAGCTTAAGATGCAGCTCTACTGTGCTTCAATTTAATGCCATGAACTTCTTAAGATACTTCATAGGCTTCTGAAGGTTCCAGACTCTCTGGATAGGAAATGCCCATCTTTATATTCTAATTTTTAGCAATGTCTTAAACATGCTTTTCTGTAAACTCAAAACCATTTTTCATAATGAAATGTAGTTTGCTTCTGAAGCCTTTGGTCTACTTTAGGAAATTTTTAGCTTGAAAATAATTTGATATACAACTTAATATTTTATTTGAAGCAGTAAGAAATTAAGACATTTAAGCATTACTAAATATGCCAAAATGATTATACAAAATAAATACTTTAGATACCACTTGTTACTTTTATTTTAAAGATGATTAAGTTTTCCTGTCTTGAAGTGGTTGGCATATTTTCTAGTTATCTGATACTAAATGACCTGATACTAAGATCAGCCCTAAAAGATGATTAAAAGGATGAATGAAATGATTAGAATATGTATTGTGCCTATTGGATTATAGGTACTAAGGACACTTTTGCTCATTTTTTTATCTTGAAGTGGTTGGCATATTTTCTAGTTATCTGATACTAAATGACCTGATACTAAGATCAGCCCTAAAAGATGATTAAAAGGATGAATGAAATAATTAGAATATGTATTGTGCCTATTGGATTATAGGTACTAAGGACACTTTTGCTCATTTTTTTAGAAATCTTTTTAATGTGTTACTTGTTTGATTTTGGAAGCAATTAATCAGGTAAGTAAGCTTACTTACCAATATGTTTTAAATAACTTGCTAAAACCTAAAATGAATTAATTGATTTTGTTTCTTTGATAGTGCACCCAGAGAAAAGTCTCAGAAAGCTATCCAGGATGAAATCCGTTCGGTGATCAGACAGATCACAGCCACAGTGACATTTCTGCCACTGTTGGAAGTTTCTTGTAAGTATTATACAACATTTCTCTGACTTAAATTTACTGAGGAAAGACTTAAGCTACTGCTGTAAGAATTACCCTTTTATTAAATTTTTTCTTAATTATCAGTATCATATAATATAAATTGGGGGAAAGCATTATAAAGCAAAAGTAATGTACAGTAGTTGCCCCTTACGTTTTAAGACCCCCTGTGGATTCTTAAAGCCATGGATAGTACTGAATCCTATAATGCATTATGTTTTTTCCTATACATACCTACCTATGATAAAGTTTAATTTATAAATTAGGCACAACAATAACTAATAATAAAATAGAGCAATTATAGCAATATGTCAATATCACTACTTTTGTGCTATGGGGCAATTATGCAGTAAAATAAGGGTCGCTTGAATATAAACACTGTGATTCTGTGACAGTTGATCTGATAACTGAGATAGGTACTAAGTGACTAATAGCTGGGTAGCCTGTACAGCATGGATATGCTAGACGAAAGGATGATTCACATCTAGGCATTACATAGCTTATGAATTGTTTATTTCTGTATTTAGCATTTAATATTTTCTAAACATGGAAAGTGAAACTGCAGAAAGTGAAACCGTGCATAAGTGAGGACTATTGTGTATGCATTCTAGAAAATCTGGAAGTGCTGAAAAGGAAGGAAAAAGTATTTCACAACACCTACTCTTGAACATTTCGATGTAATTCCTTTCACTATTTTTATTTTTTACACATTTTTATGTGTATAATTAAGACTGTATGTATAGTTTTGTCTTCATTTTCAATCTTAATTACTCATTCGTTCATCAGATATTTACCAAGTACCTGCTGTATGCCATACACTGTTTTGGGCACTGGAATGTGGCAGAACCAAGGTGTTAGCTTTCCTATGGCTTACGTTCATATTTTCTCATATGGCTGTATACTTCAAGTATTTTTTAATGACTTTAAAGAAAAAAAAATTGAAGTTTTAATAAGATAAAATAGAAGAATACAATATTTTCTGTACTAAAATAAATTCCCATTAAGAAAAATAAGTTAACTAGTCATCAGAGACCAGGCTAAACTATGTTTTCTAACAATGGGTAGTTCACAATGTGAGAGAGACAGGGAGGGTAGTTTTACTTCTGGAAAATAATGTACTGTAATGATCTTAACCCCAATTTAGGTTCATTTGATCTGCTGATTTATACAGACAAAGATTTGGTTGTACCTGAAAAATGGGAAGAGTCAGGACCACAGTTCATAACCAACTCTGAGGAAGTTCGTCTTCGTTCGTTTACTACTACAATCCACAAAGTAAATAGCATGGTGGCCTACAAAATCCCTGTCAATGACTGACGGTGAGATGAGGAAGATAATGTAATTGTAGTCCTCAAATGTGGTTTTCCAGAAACCAAGTCACCTATGGTTGATATGTTTCATTTCATTGGTTAATTTTGGAAGGGGAAAACTGACATTATACTTTACCAAACTGTGCATAATTGTTCCATTTTTATTGGTACCTATTCGGCTTATCATAGGATTGACATAATGAATTTGTTGCATATTTTTCAAAAGGAACCAACAGGTTTTGTCAGCATTGTAATGTCAGTTCCCTTGAAGGTGGTAACTGTAGATGGAAAAACTTTTACTATAAAGCTAAAAACTTTCCTAAATCAGACATTTGGTCAAGTAACTTGACTCAGAGTATAGGTAGGGAGATATTTAAATATAAGATACAGCAAAAGAAGTCTGAATATTCAGAATTTTTGTTTAAATCCTGAAAGTAACTAATAATAGTTCATGAGTAATGAAATATTACTCTATTAGGTTCTTTTGTCATTTATTTTATTGTATAATTCCCATATTGAATAAATTTCCAATTATTTGATTTTAATTTATATAACTTGAACCTATGAAGCAATGGATATTTCTGTATAATTTCCTGTGATACAGAGCTCTTAAAAATGTTTTTTGTGTGTTTTATAAAATCAAGCTTTAAATGAAAATGAGGAAATAAAGTTAAACTTGTATGTTTTAAATTTGTCTTAAAATATTTTGATATTGGTGTGGTGTTAATACAGTTAAATGATAGAATGGATTTAGTATAGCAAATGATTTTTTGTGCCTACTAAGTCTTAGGTAGGGCCTAAGGATATAAAGTTGAATAAGTCTTGAGGTACTTTCAATCTAATGGATAAGGTTTGATTATACTCCCTTCATTTCATAACAGTAGACTTAAAATAAGAATATTGTAAAAGGATAAATGTCGTTTGGAATTAGTTTAATTTAGCAAATGTTAGATTGTTGTACCTTTCTTTACTCTTAGCCTTATTGTCAGTCTAGTTTTCTTTATACATTTAAACACCACTCTTATTCCTGTGCCTTCATTAATATTCTCATCAGGTGTATTTTTCCTTGTTGTTAGTGGCTGGCCACTGCGGGGATCTGAATCTTTCACCTTGGTGTTAAAACACCATACGCTAACCCAACCGGCCAGCCCCTAATCAGTTGTATTCTTTCTATCCAGTTCTCACCTGTTTTTCCAAGGTCACTTTAAAGCAAACTTCTGAAAAGTCTTTTCTAATCTTTCTGACCTGTTTTTCCAAAGTCACTTTAAAGCAAACTCCTCAAAAGTCTTTTCTAATCTTTATTCTAAAAATCTCATTTTGTAATAATTCAACTTATTAAAATGCTTAGCATTAGACACTATTCTAAGCTCTTCCTATGTATTAACTTATTTAACCTTCACTATTAAGTGAACATAGTCTATAACCATTTATTCAAACATTACACATTGAGCATCTATTAATGTGCAAAATACTGTGTGCCCGTTGCCCAGATGAATAAAACAAAGTACTGGCCTTTCAGAAGCTTGAGATCTTACAAGGGAGAGGACCTAGAATATACCGCAGAGGACCATGGTAATCAAACAGGTTTATTTAATTATGTATTTGTCTTTGTTATCTCACCAGGATGAATCATATCTCTGATCCAGTTGTGTGCTTGTTAAGAATAAAGGGCATTGTCTTACATTTTTTATCTCTCAGTGCTGTACAAATATATACCAATATTTGATGACAGGTTAGTTAATGCTTTTATAAAAAGCCCATTACCTGAAGAGTTGTTTCTGTCCTCCTGGACCTAACTGAGGTCCAGGAGGACAGAAAGGGCCACATACGAGTCTTTTGTTCCTGAATAATAAGTTATGCACAAATGGAAATGATGTTGAATTAGGTACGGTCAAAAGTCTGGGTTTCCAAATAACATCAGGTGAAGTTTAAAGTGGATACTATCAAGACTAAAACATTCATTTGAATTCTTGGATTGTTCATAACCTCTAATATTTGAAGTATGGATTGAGAAGAAAAACAGAAATAGAACTTCAGTAAAAATATGGAGATGAAAATTCTGGTCCTCTCTTTAGGAAATATGTTTGAATATACAGAAAGTAGTGACTGCTTCGAGAAACACTGACTGTCTCTGCTAAACAATGGGAATAATAAAATATTCTTCCCCTAAAACTCACCAGTAGTAACATGTCAATCATTTGTGTGTTTATTTGGCAAACTAAATGATTCTAATATCAACTATTTTTGTGGTTTATTTAACTACTGACTTCTCTTTAAAAATTATATCCAGAAATTAATGCTCTGGACTGAGTGTTAGTCTCAATAGTAGGAGCTTCTGCCATATGGTCTATTGCCTGCAACTCACTCTTTAGTACCAGTCTGCATTAGCTAGGCTCTTGACTTTTGAAAACAGCAAAAACTGGCTATGGAAAGATTTAACTTTAAAGGGTATTAACTGCATAGGGAATCAAAGGAAAGTCTGAAAACCTAAGTGCAAGCATAGTTTCTGGGTTCTCAGTGACAACTTTGTGAATTCTGCATATCTTTGTGGAATAAGTGGACCACTGATGTTAGCTTGATGATTTCAAGAAAAGCGGCAATGAAAAGCTTTTTGCATTTTAACAATTTGAGACATAAGACTAAGAATTCTGTGAAATCGCATTTTTGAAGGTTGAGAATACTTTGATCATTTTAATTCCGTTAACATTGTGACAGGGTTAAATTTGTACATTTTTATATCATTTGTACTTGTGAGGTTTCTGAGGAGCCAGTCATGATCTTTTTTACCCCTTACAAATTATGATCAATAAGAAATACACATTTTGTAGTTGAGTAGGAGCCAAGCTATGAGCTTAATTGGGAAAGCTTTGGCCTATGGCTCCAAGTAGACTTGTCCCACCCTCTTTCTATATCTTGAGCTCACCTTAGGAGAAGACATTTAAACTAACAGCTGAAAGAATTGTGACCGGCTTTCACACCATGTCAACCACAAGAGTCCAATGGGCCTCCAGGCCTGGCCCAGACTCTGACTCAGTTTTGCTTAGCATAGGAAGAGTAATGAAAACATGTTCCAGTTGAGCCCATCAAGGTCTGAAATAGGCCTACAAGGGACTAAACTACACCTGGTCTTCAAGATCCTTCTAGTGTCAATCAGAGAAGTCACACCTCTGTGGGAACGCTTCAACAGAGGTATGACAGTGTGCTGTATTAGTGGCTTTTCCTGTATAGCAAGCAACCATAGAATATCAACAATAAGCATTTTTTTTCTCATGCAAGTCTGCAGGACAGGGTGGTTCTGTTCCACATATCTTATTCTGCCGTAGGAGAGGTGTGACTAGCTAGGACTCTTTAAGGCTTAGCTTCAAAACTTTCTCACTGACATTTCTCCAGCATTCCACCGACCAAAACAAGTCTTATGGCTAAGCCAAACTTCAGTGGGACCAGGAGGTATACTTCTGTCATGAAGATAGTGGAAAGGGCACATGGATGTTTGATGAAAGTGATATAATGGACCAGGGATCAGCAAATTATCTGAAAATGGCCATATAGTAAATAGTTCAGACTTTGCAGACCTTTGGTCTCTTGTACATACCTACTCAAGTTGGTTGTAGTAGCTTGAAAGCAGCCATAGACAATACGTAAATAAATGAGCATGGCTGTGTTCCAATAACCAAACCCAGAAGGCTGCTGGATTTGGCCCAGGGTTGCAGTTTGCCAACCCTGTAATAGATCACAGTTTGCTTTTTTGATCATAGATGTTCAAACCCCTCCCTAGCTCAGAGCATTTGATTTTTTGATATTTAAGGCTTAATTATTGTTTCCCTTCATAGTATCTCAAGTTGGATTTCTTTCCTAATTTTATTTCAATTCCATATTCTGTGAAGCACAACTGGCTATTTCTTTGAGGTACTTCTTAGGATACCCCACAGTGAATTTTGATCTGAAAGCTTGAGAAGGGAGGTTCTTTGTCATATAATGTATAAAAAGAGACTCAGAATAGCATAAAGGGATCTGTACCTCTATTTTAAATCATTTTTTTCACTATATAAGCATGAATGCTAAGTGTTGTTTTTATTTTTAGAATGTACTAGTGTTTCTTATGTTCATTAACCTCCTGTATATTTTAGAATATAGACTCAAAATTTTTAATAAGGTAGGTAGCTTCATAGACATTTTGTCTTCACCTTCTGTTTTTATTTAGTTGCTTATATGTAAAATTTATCTTAAATTTACTATACATGAAAGATCAGAATAGCTATATAAGGTTACATTGTAACTTCTGTATTTTCCACCAGATGTCACTAATGCTGTAATATTCAAATTAAGGTGAATTTCTTTTGCCTCTAATATTCAGCTTTTCTTATTGGAAATTAACATTGGGATTTCTGGCTATAAAAATATAAATACCTCAGGGGGAAAAGACACTTAACATTTATTATCTACTAGGCACTTTACAAGAATTATTTCATTTAATTCTCATGCTTTAGTGCACAGTAGAGTAGGGTCAGTTAGCATGCCCATTGTGCTGTTTTTTTAAGTTTAAATGGTCCCAGGCCAAGGAAGCTCATCCTCTTACTCCCTAACAAGCACATCAAAAAGAGTTCCCTCTCCCTTTTCCTCTTACCTTTTACATCCTTTTAACAATTGAGTGTCCTGCGCACAGTGGTTTTCCTTTACTGTACTTCGCAAAACTTGACCATGTCTTATTGAGTTTGTATTTACACTTTCCTCAGATAGTTAATTGTCAGATGACTTTAACCAGTAAATAGGAAGAGCAAAATGACTGAGGGCTTTATCCTGTACCTTACCTATATTATCTAAAGAATAAATTAGGTGTGAATTTGTGAATAGTTATGAAACATCATTTTCCAACTAATCAGAATAATTGTTCATTAAGCAACCTCAGTTACTCAGTCTTCAGGGAATTAATTTTTGGTTTAACTTACAAATAATAATTTCTTATTTACTTTTTAAATGAATGGAGTTATATTCTAAGTTATTTTGTTCAGTGTGATTATGATAAAAGATTATATTGAAATAACTATGGAATAGAAACTACTAAATTTCAAGTTTTATCAGTTATTTTTTCTAACAACAGATCTTTAGAGATCTTTCCATTCTTCATGATTACGACTTTGAAAGCCAGCAGTGTTCACTAATGCTTATTTAAAAAAAAAGTCTAGTTGGGCAAGCTACTTAATCTCCATTAGAGTTGACAATTCTGTTCCAATCTGGCAAAAACATTGTAGCCCTAGCAACAAGACTATTAGAAAAGGCCTACAGAGAAAAATGTCAAAGTTGACCCTCTGATTACACAAGTCAGTTTATGTTACCATGTCACCTATTTTTGTCCTCTACCATCTGATCTATTTTTATATCAGAGACATAATATAGTTTCATTTATTTGTACAAAGCCCATTTTCATCTACATTTATCTGCACCATTTTGCCATGCAAGCTTGTTTGCACAAAAAAACCTTAATCAGATAGTAATCTTTATTATCCTGGAATTTTATCTGTGCTGAAAAAGGCCTCCAAGTATAAGCTGGACCACCCATATTCCATTTCCTTGCAAGGGAAAGATCTCAAATGTCTTTAAAAACTATCTAGATATGGACTTATCCAGTGGATGCCTAGACATGGATATGAATTGCTTTCTGAAATGGCAGTCTCACTGACCAAGGGCAGAAACTAGTGGTTTTA